AACTTACTAAGTTGGCTCTCAAGGTTGAGTCACAAATGAAGAAATCCAAAGCCATTCTATCAAGGAACTCTACCCCTTTCTCACGCCCCACTTACACCCCCACCAAACCCCCCCCTACTGCCCACGGCCAAGCACCCAAACCCCAAACTCCTTTCAAACCAAACCCCACTCCTCTCCCACCTAAAACAGCCCCTTCAACCAACAAAAGAGCCCCCGTGTGTTACCGATGTCAAGGGACTGGTCACTATGCCAATGAGTGTCCAAACAAGAAGATAATGGCCTTGGTGGAATAGGAAAGATGAAGAATATAATCCCATATGGGATGAAGAGATAGCCGAGGGAGAAGAGGAAGAATGCGTTGGCCTCGATGAAGGAGAACTTTTGGTCATTCGAAGGACCTTAAGTGCCATCTCATGCCCCGAAGAACAACTACAACGGGAGAACATCTTCCACACCCGTTGTACAATTCACAAGAAGGTGTGCTCCTTAATCATTGATAGCGGGAGCTGTTCTAACGTTGCCTCCAAAACCGTGGTGGACAAGCTACACTTAAAGGTGTCCCCTCATCCTAAGCCTTACACGATTCAATGGTTGAATCAAGGCAAAGGGTTACGTGTGGATACGCGGTGCTTGATCTCTCTAAGCATTGGGAAGACTTACAAAGATGATATTTGGTGAGATATCATTCCCATGGACGCGTGCCACGTCCTTTTGGGTCGCCCATGCTTATTCGACAACAAAGTGCAACATGATGGTTTCCTCAACACTTACTCCTTCCTAATGAACAAAAGAAAGATTACACTCACTCCCTTACCCCCACCTTCCTCACCCACGGCCCAAGCAAGCAACAACACCCCCCCATCTCTCATCTCCACTATACTCCAATCCGAGCATCATGAACTTGAAGGATTGAAGAACCTCATTCTCCTTGACCTTGATGTGGCCGAACCCTCCCCCCTCCAAAACAGCCTCACTCTCTAGCCATCCCCATCCTTGAACAATATGCCCATATCTTCCCCGAAGATGTACCTCACGGCCTACCACCAAAGAGAGATATCCAACACAAAATCGACCTCATTCCCGGGGCTGCCTTACCAAATAAACCAGCCTATAGAATGAACCCGGAGGAAACAAAGGAGATACAATGCCAAATGGATGAACTACTAGCGAAGGGTTTTATTCGTGAAAGCCTAAGTCCTTGCGTTGTTCCGGCCTTGTTAGTACCAAAGAAGAACGGTACGTGGAGGATGTGTTACGATAGCCGAGCCCTTAACAAGATCACCATCAAATATAGGTATCCTATACCTAGGCTCGAGGACATGCTGGATGAACTCCATGGTTCTAAGATCTTTTCGAAGATTGATCTTCGAAGTGGTTACCACCAAATCCGTATCTACGAAGGGGATGAATGGAAGACCGCGTTCAAAACAAAGTTTGGCCTCTACGAGTGGTTGGTTATGCCATTCGGGCTGACCAACGCCCCGAGCACATTCATGCGGTTGATGAACCAAGTCTTGAAGCCATTTATAGGTCATTTTGTCGTAGTCTACTTTGACGACATCTTGATCTATAGTAAGAGTGAAGAAGAGCACATTAACCACCTCACCTTAGTGGTTAAAAGACTGGACGAAGAGAAGCTCTATGGGAATCTGGAGAAGAGTCAGTTCTTCTCTCAAGAAACGGAATTCTTGGGATACTATATCTCGAGTGATGGTATCAAAGTGGATGAAAGGAAAACACAAGCCATAAGGGATTGGCCCATTCCCACGTCGATGCAACAAGTACGGAGTTTTCATGGTCTAGCCTCATTCTACCGAAGGTTTGTGCGTGACTTTAGCACCATCACCGCACCCATCACGGACCTCACCAAAAACCAGAAGTTCGAATGGAATTCAAAAGCTCAACAAGCCTTCGAAACCATCAAAGAAAGGTTGACACATGCCCCCGTGTTAGCCTTACCGAGCTTTGAGAAACTGTTCGAGGTAGAATGTGATGCATCCGGAGTCGGGATAGGGGCTGTCCTCTCCCAAGAAGGCCACCCGGTGTCCTATTTCAGTGAGAAGTTGAATGATACGAGAAGGCGGTATTCGACTTATGATAAGGAGTTCTACGCTCTTGTTCGGTCCTTAGAACATTGGCGTCACTACTTGGTTAGCAAGGAGTTCATACTTCATTCCGACCATGAGGCCTTGAAGTACATTCANGATGCATCCGGAGTCGGGATAGGGGCTGTCCTCTCCCAAGAAGGCCACCCGGTGTCCTATTTCAGTGAGAAGTTGAATGATACGAGAAGGCGGTATTCGACTTATGATAAGGAGTTCTACGCTCTTGTTCGGTCCTTAGAACATTGGCGTCACTACTTGGTTAGCAAGGAGTTCATACTTCATTCCGACCATGAGGCCTTGAAGTACATTCAAGGGCAACACAAACTCAGGCCCCGTCATGCCAAATGGGTTGAATACATTCAAACCTTCACCTTCACCATAAAGCACAAGAATGGGTCCATGAACAAAGGAGCCGATGCCCTCTCCCGGAGACACCTCTTACTAACGGCCCTTAGTGCCAAAATTATTGGTTTTGATTTTGTGCAGGAGCTATACAAGGAGGATGAAGACTTCAAAGACACATTTTCCAAGTGTCTTGTGCGGCCCCACGGAGAATTCCTCATTAAGGACGGTTATTTGTTCCGAGGAAATCAGTTATGCATTCCGAAATGTAGTCTTCGTGAAACCCTCATCGAAGAAGTACACGGAGGAGGACTAGCAGGACACTTTGGCATCGAGAAGACCCACATGATGATGCGCGAACACTACTATTGGCCAAAGATGGAACGAGATGTGGAGCACTACATCAAACGGTGCAACCTTTGCCAAACAGCCAAGAGCCATTCCTTAGCTCAAGGAAAGTATCTTCCCCTACCCATCCCCACGGCTCCATGGGAAGATATTAGCCTCGACTTCATCACGGGGCTGCCTAGGACACAACGAGGGAAAGATTCAATCATGGTCGTGGTAGATCGGTTCTCAAAGATGGCCCATTTCGTGCCATGCTTAACCACACATGACGCTTCGCAAATCGCTGATCTCTACATAGGATTCCTCGAAGCATGGTATCGGATCAGGACAGCAAATTCCTTAGTCATTTTTGGATGACACTTTGGAGAAAGATGGGAACCAAGCTCAAGTTTAGCACCTCTCACCACCCTCAAACCGACGGCCAAACAGAAGTGACGAACCGAACCCTTGGAACATTGTTACGGGTGCTCATCAAGAAGAATATAAGGCAATGGGAAGAACTTCTACCCCATGTGGAGTTTTCTTATAATCGGACACCCAGCAAGACAACCGGTTTTTCCCCATTTATGGTTGTTTATGGTTCTAACCCCCTTACCCCACTTAAACTTGATCCAATTGTGATAACACAGAAATATAGTGCGGAAGCCGAGGAACGAGCCAAGGAGATTCAAGACCTTCACGCCAAGGTCCGAGAGAGAATTGATGCAATGAATGAGAGAGTGAGTGCACGAGTCAACAAGAGAAGGAAGTCCGCTGAGTTCAAGCCTGGAGATTTGGTTTGGATTCATCTTCGGAAAGAGCGTTTCCCCACGAAACGCAAGTCCAAGCTACTGCCCCGAGCGGATGGCCCCTTCGAAGTTCTAGAGAAGGTCAATGATAACGCCTACAAGATCAATCTACCGGGAGAATATGGAGTCTCCGCCACATTCAACATCGCCGACCTCAGCCCTTACTTTGAGCCTAAAGATATTCCGAGTTTGAGGTCAAACTCTTCTGAAGAAGGGGAGGATGATATATCTCGGGTTACACCTTCACACACGCCACTAGTATTAAAAGAAATCAAGTGTTTAATGTCTAGGTGTTATGATCCATTTTGGGTTGAACTCATTGATCCATCCCACACCAAAACCCAAACCATGACCTATCTCTCCCAAAACCCAACCTAGGCCGAAATGCCTACAAGCCCAACCCACTCCCACATATCCAAAGTATTTTTACTACTCAAATAAAGCCCTTTTCCTCTCCCTTGAAGCCCTGGCCAAAATTGAAAGGAAAAGTACAACCCAAAATAATGTGAGTGTTGTTTTCTTCCCTAAATATTCCTTTCATCAAATAAGAACCTTCCCCATCCCTTCCTACTTCAAAGTCAC